GATCCTTAAAAGAAACCATACACTTGTACAAGTAAAGAAGGTTTATACCTAAACTACAAATTAAGATTTTATAATGTCTTTGTGATTTTTTTCTCTATACATACATTTCTATCGAGAACACGCAAAAAACATAATTAAAAGCAAAAATGCAACTATTATACAATAAGCAAATTACAACACCTATATAGATATAATGTATGTTTTGTCGACTAATTAGTAGATAAATATTTAAATTCATTCAACTAAATTTGTGTCGTCTTAGAATTCAAATTTTGTTTCGCATTACTTGTTCTTATGTTCATCTTATTCTCGTATTGCTTTTATGGTTACTAAACTAAACTTTATCTATTTTTTATTTCGTTCTTAGAAAACAAAAAACTAGACCTTGAGACGAATTGATCAAACGAAAAATCAAAAGACCAACCGGCGCCACTTCTTCTTAACAACCTTCACCAACCAACCCAAGTTCTCAATTATAAATTTATTTATAAATGTTTTTATTAGTTTTGATGACCTCACCACTCACAAAGTGGGGTGTATATCGAATTTTAGTCGTGAGATTACATGACTAATCGAGCAGGGAAATTTTCGTAATTAATAATTAGTATGAGGTGCTCGAACTTGCCAATTATAGTTTTACAAATTAACCATGTTCTAAAATAGATTAATAATAATCTAACACATCACAGGCTTACGGTTTTACGAATACCAAAATGTAGTTTACCTACCAGATTAAGCTAGAATCACCCATAAGTATTGGTGAATAATACAACCATAAAAGATATTCATATTTACTTATTTACCCATTTAGGTACAAATCCAAAATTTAACAAGTTTAGAAGAAAAAATTATGGGACAATTACAAAAATGCCACACTTTGACACTTTTACAAGCGTGTCACTCTCTCCTTCACTTTTACATTAATGCCACATTTTATTGACAAAAAGACAAATATGTCCTTTTTTCTCTCTTTTTTTTCTCCTTTTCTCTCTCACCTTCTCCTTCTTCTACGAAATATCCAGATCAAAAACTCACTTCTTGTTTTTCTCTTTCTCTCTCTCATTTTTTCTACAAAA